AGCAACTGGCGGATCTGAAACAAAAGTTGCAGGTGAGTGAACAGATATTTGGATATTGATGAATCGCATTTTATGGCAGTTTTAAGCGAATACATTTTCGAGTGATGATTTATTTGACTCTGAAAATGTTTCTGCGATTTAATGAAGTGTGCGGTGGAGTTTCGAGTTGCTCGATGTAGTTTTGGGAAGAATGAGAAAATATTGAAAATATTGTTGGATTCGAAGTCTTTAAAATGTAGTAATTGCTTTCTCAGGCGAGTCAACAAGGCGAGAATGCACTACGTCAACAAATTCAACGATGCAACGAACAACGTGAACAGTTTCAAACGACGATACAAAATCTAAACTGCGATAAACAAGGACTACAGAGAAAAGTAGACATTGATCCACATTTATCTAATATTCTCGTTATTCGATTTTATTGCTCATCAACAAAAGAACCCTCAAAACTTATTCACATAAACTGAAAAAGCTATCCAAGACTTCCCGCCTGAGCCTTTGTTGGGGGATTAAGAGAGCATTTGTTGCTGAATCGATCCGCTATTAGCTGAACTTTTTATGGGCTCTATGTGGGCTCTGCCTAGTCCTGATGCGTCATAACTTCCGCCTAGACAACGCTAGGCACAAGTTATCTGAAGGTGAACGGTCTGGAATGGGTTAGTTGCACAATCTGGCACGGGAGTGACTGATTGATTGATTGATTGATTGATTGATTGATTGATTTGATGGAATACGCCGTAGAAGGAGAAAGTTTGNTAGACGAGGCTAGGCAGAAGTCATCTGAGGGTGACCGGTCTGGAATGGGTTAGTTGCTCAATCTGGCACGGGAGTGATTGATTGATTGATTGATTGATTGATTGATTGATTTGATGGAATACGCCGTAGAAGGAGAAAGTTTGCTTTTTTGTTTACGCATTTTTCCAACATTAAACGGAAAGTTTCTGTCGAGAAGAAGTTTGAAATTTTTGCGATGTTCACAATCGGTAATTGTTTGCAAATTTGAGTGTGTTCAAATTGAACGTGAAATGTTCCAAATCCGTGAACGTTTCGACGAAATGCTACGCAATCGTCCGTCATCGAGTGAATGTGATCACTGCAAACGATTCTCATCAAATGTTGATTTTGATCGCAATCGATCCAAACCCTCATTACCATTATCAGCTTCAAAACAGAAGGTATCTATTCCATTCATTCGCTTCATATTGATCCTAGACACCAATCAAAAGATGCTCCGCAACAGATACAGATGTTATGACCGACTGACTTATTGACGGCTTAATGCTAGTACCCTTTGCGAGGCATCTTTTCATTTGTGCACTACTTTTATTGGAATGAATTGAACGCTAGGCTTTTCCAAGCTAAGCTTCCAATCAGCTATAAAACCTTTGAATAGAAATAATCCCAAAATAGTTATTCACTTTATGAATGAAAATGCTGAGACTGTTTCCATTTATTCTGTTAAATTAATAAACTCCTCAAATGTAAGTCATATCAGAATAATGATTGTTAAGGATTCGTCATGTACCAATGATGAACTGCGATTAGAAGTTGAGCAGTTACGAGGTGAAATCTCGACATTACGAGAGACGTTGAATGAACAGATCGGAATGTTCGGTGATGAACGAAGACGCTGGGAAATGGAACGAAATAAGGTTGGTTCTCTTATACAGTAATTGTGATGTGATCTTTTATCAAACCTATCTATCAACTTTATTGTTTTGTTAACCCATCAAAAATTTCAGATGCTTCAATTGAACCCGTCCAATTTNTGGAACGAAATAAGGTTGGTTCTCTTATACAGTAATTGTGATGTGATCTTTTATCGAACGTATCTATCAACTTTATTGTTTTGTTAACTCATCAAAAATTTCAGATGCTTCAATTGAACCCGTCCAATTTAAACCCTTCTTTATCAGTTTATTCGAATCGCTCAAAACCGCCACCCTCCAGTGCAATATCTACACAGCAGCAACAACAATGTGTTGTGAGCGCCGATCAGTTGATTTAAATAATTCAATTGTGATTCTGACCGATTTGATCCAGTGTTGCTTAATTTGCTTGAAGTTTCACTCGAAAAGCCAATTTTGGGTTGTAATTCTTTCACTGTGCGTGGAATTGTATAACGTAACTACTGCCTGAGTAAGTGCTATATCACATGGATTGTTCAGTATGTTGACAATGCATTGTGCATAATGTGTTTGTGTGTACAATATTTTGCCTTGCTTTATTTTTCTGAATGTGTAAAATTCTTTCAGAATTTATAAACTGTTACGATTTGTTTCATCAACTTTTTTTGCTATTGAACTGAAGTTTTCATAGGTTAAGTGCGAGTGATTCGTTGTTAATACCATCACCATTTTCTGTTATATGATAGGAATGAAGCCAGAAATTTGAAAGGGATTGTTATGTTGCAGTTTGAGGTTGAATCTTAAGTGTGTCCAAAAGGCGGCTGTGTACTCTATCTCATATCGCTTCATATTCTCGGGATCTTAACCGCATTATTAATGATTTAATTGTTGTTTTGATTGCGTCCTTCATTGTAGTTACCATTTTAACTAATAGCAGTGGTGTTATGTTCGTGTTCGCTATTGTACTCTTCAATTACTGAGATATTTTGTTGGTGTAAAATGATTTCTATAACAACAAAATAAAAATTTATGCTGAAACATGTATGTGGTTGGTGAAATTCATTGCTTTCATGTGAATAATTTGTATGGTTAAACAGCAGCTGATACGGGGAATGGATTAAACTTGATGTGAATGAATTATAGCAATCCTTACATAAATGGAATGGCAAAAATGCATCAATCGTTTGTTTTCATCCTTAAATGCTATTAGGTATCGCTGCATTTCGAAGAGAAAAAAAAGAGATTCGGCCAGGATCTTAGCCGGACCGGCGATCCGTCAAAAACGGTTGAGAGTCACTTCTTTTAATGACTTCTCTTCACTCGAACACTTGGAAATCTTCTCATCCCTCTGCATCATTATTCAATAAAGAAGACTACANTCCTTTGTTTTCATCCTTAAATGCTATTAGGTATCGCTGCATTTGGAAGAGAAAAAGAGAGATTCGGCTAGGATCTTAGCCGGACCGGCGATCCGTCAAAAACGGTT